ATTTTATTCTATTCCAGAGATATTTTATTATTCTCTTCTTCCATCCATTAAACTTAACTTTCGAGTTTGACTTTGTATATCAGTTGTTTTAAATGCTCTTTCTCATTTTCTACATATTCTTTTCCCACAACATTGTATTATTATTTGATAAGTGCAATATATTTTTGTCTCTTTAAAAATACTATTTATAGCTTTCTAGAAATTTATTTCTTTACTCCCTGTATTTTCTTTCTTTCTTCTAAATGCTTCTTACAAATTTTATGTTTTGCTTTTAAAGTGAGCATATTTTCTCAGATGTCTAGGAGCCAATTCATAAAGAATGAGAACATAAAAATCTGAAATTTTATATGCCTAGTGTTAATGAACCATAGGAAAGCTATAGAAAACTGATTTATCAAGACTCTCCCTAATGTCACTATCTCTAGTCCTTTTGTCATGTAATGGTCAATTTCTCCAGGGGGGAATCTTCTTGGCTTTTTCTGGTGTGGTAGATAATTCCTAGATACATGTCTATCTGGCAGTACTGTGGAATTCGAGCAATATATATATTGTAACTATTCAGAAGGCTGATTTTCAGTTAATCCTTTTATTCACTTTGGTGCCTCCCTCCCACATTTGGCATGTCCAGATATTATAGCTTGTGTTTAGATGTCCCCCAAAGCCTCATGTAGTCATAGGTGGTGCTTTTTAGAGGTAACTGGATCTAGAGTGTGCAGTGCTGGGATTAAGTGTGTGATAGTTGAATCAAGAGTGTCTGTTACTAAATTAGTCCACTGATTGGTTTGGCATAGTTCTGGGTAGGATTAAGGGTACCTCACACTAGATGTGAGTGCTACCCACCTAGCCTGATTAAAATATAAAGGACAGAAGGAGGGCTAGTGCCATCACTCATTGTCTGCTACCTTGCTGTCTTCTGCCTGCCATGAACTATTTTTCCTCTGTGATACCCCTCTGCCATGCCACCTTGACTTGGAACCAGCCAACTAGGAACTGAAACCTCTATAAACTGTGAGCCAAAATAAATCTTTCCTCTTTTAACTTTGTCTGTTGGGTATTTTGTCTAAGCAACAAGAAAGATAACTAACTCAGAAACCCAAAGATTCTCTGCTTCCATTTCTAGGCAGTAAAGTACCTCTCTGTGATTGGGGTCAGGAGGACAGTCTCAAAGCTACATAGGCTGAGGATGAGACCTGGGCTGTAACTGCTCTTTATGCAGACTTTTAACCAATACACTCATGAAGATTTCCATTCCATATTTAAGCCTCTAGAACTACCTATTGTCTTGTATTCTGTAATTTTGTTACTACAATAAGCATGTTTGTTTAATGGATTCTCTCCTGATAAGAAGAAACTACTCATTTGTCTTCTTCCCAGAGTTTCTTGATATCTCTAAACTGTCGTCTTATTCTTTTCCCTTTTCTTTCTTTCTTTTTCTTTATTGTATTTCTAATTGTGGTTTTGGGAGAAACAGAGGTGAAAAGGCATATGCAAATAACCATGTATAAATAGATATCACCAATATTCTATTTTTTATAACTTAAAAAATTCAAATTGTAGAATCAAATCAAAGCAAAGCTAAAAATGCTGCTGTTAAAATAGAAGAAATTGCCTGGCCAGCATTATCTCTATGTGAATTCAAAGATACACTCTTACTTGCAAACTACAGGAGTTTGAATTCTACATTTGAAAAGTTGGAATGGAAGCATATTGTTGTTGATTGTCTTGCAGAACTTAATTCTAGGTCACCTAATATCTTCATCAACAATTTAGATGATGAACTTTTAGTGTGATCATTACTCTTTCAGCGGACAGTTGAATTTGAATAGAGTTTTTTGTGAAGGTAATATTATCTTCTAAAAATTGGGAGAAAGGGGCTACTAAATGAGGAAGTAACCACTTCCTTATATGAAAGAAGACATGGAGCAGTACAAGAGACCCTCCCATGAGCCCGCCTGCTTCCATGCAGAGGAGCTGTAGAGCCCAGCCACGAAGGTGCCTACACAGCCCCCCAGCCCACAAGCCTCTGGCTGTTGGGCCATACTAACATCTGGATCCATACCACAGAGGGGCAGAAGGGCCATTGATCTGAGTTCCAGATGATAGAACAGAAGTAAACAAGAGAAAGTGGCCTCTCTCAGGCTCCCAGATGAAAATAGAAGCCCACTGGAAAAGTGAAGAAAATCTCTGCAATAAAGGCACACCGGACCACTGTAGTTGGTAAGTTGGAGGAATCACCACCTCCCATCAGAACCTGGACTTTCTTCAGGGGAGAAGGGTGGCTGAAACCTGCATTGGAACCTTGCAGTGTTCAACTCAGCAGGAGGTCAGAGATCTCAACTTGCTTGCTGAGACTAATTGACTTGGCTCTGACTCCTTCCCATACTGCCTGTTGTGTCAGCCAACACATACCCTGAAAAAGCCCCTTTATTTTTATTTTTTATTTCCAAAGTAAATTTTTTCTCTTACTTTTCATAATTTAAACAATGTTTACCTTTTTCTTTTCTCATCTCAATGTTTTTTCTTTTCTCTTGTTTCTTTTTTCATTTCTTTCTCTTTCTCTTTCTCTCCCTCTCATTCTCTCCCACCATTTTCTTTAGTGCTCTTCCTTTTTGTTCCCATTTCTGTCCTAATTAAAATTTCTTTCTTTTTTTATTTTTTCTCTTTTTCCTTCTCTTGATTGTCACTAGTTTTAAAGGAAAGAGAATAGAATTGCTAGCCTCCCTATTGCTGTTAGGTTGTTCTGTTTTGTATATATTGTTTTGTTCTGTCTTCTCCTCCTCTCTTCAACAGCTTAACAGAGTGTGCATGACCTGCCTGTGCCCTCTGGCCTTACTTCTAACATTTCCCTATCCTACCTATCTATCCCTCCCTCTCCAACTGCTTCCAAGTCCCCATCCCGTAGGGTAAAGTTGCTATATTGAAGAGTTTATTCACTATAAATATATTTGGGACTGGCACTCTATCTGATTTAATTCACAAGGTTAAAAGTGATATAGATTCATAACTTCCCCAAATTGTCATTTTCTAAACTGTACTTGATGTTACTGTTGTTGTTGATTGTATCACTTGGACTAAGGTGTTGTGATTGATCTAATCAGTTGTCCTTCCTAGTACTATGAAAATGAGAGTGTCTCAGAGTAATTAGAAGTCTAAAACCTAAAGACAAGCTATATCTGGAAGATTGAAGTATTTTTTTTGTTTCCTCCAAATTTGCTTTATGTAATTGATTAGATATAAATTAATGAATAGAAATTTAAGCAAGATACATGTAACAATTTAGCAGAACCTGATAATCTAGTTTCTTTTAACTTTCATCAAATTCATCTTTAAGTCATTCCATCATGGGGCTCATAAGGAAATTAACCAACATATGCATAATACAGTTGAATGTCAAATAAGTACTTATGACATACTAAATTTTCCTATAATGCAATTATGAAGAACCTTCCAGAAACCTGTTTGTATGTAGAAAAGTGTTAAGAGTCAAATATTCAACTCAATATAAAATAATAAGAAACTTGTTTTTTATGTGGAGACCACTTCTCCTTTTGCTAATGAATGATTTTTAGCTGTAATATCTCTGAGCAGAACAAATAAGTCACTTTGAGTACACAAGGAAAAATAAACACATGCTAAATGGATAAAACAGTACTACTACATATTTACTAGACCATCTCTACCTCTAACACTTCAGAAGCTTAGAGATTTAGAGTAGCCTTACATTAACTGCAAGAAAAATTAAATGAGGAATTCCTTTTTTGAGATCACAACTATGAAATCATGTGGTTATACAAATGCTGCATTTGTGTGCAAAACATGAAAGACATTTACTTTTATTCCCTGCTTAGTCTTTTCAGTCACCTAGCAGGGCTTAATAGATTCCTTTCCAAGAGACACAGACTGAGATGTGTTTATATAACTCCAGTAAACCCCAGCACGACAGTAATGAGAGATGCAGTATCCTTTTGCCATATGAGTCAAGACAACAAGGAAGGAGGTCATAGGAAAGAGAATAAATCAAAACTGTTACACTGAAAAACTACGTTTCATCATGGTGCCACCTTCATTTTCAAATAAGCATGGTGTCATAATTCAAGCTCAGTAAGTCAGAAATCTTAATATTTAAAATTTACTTTGACTTTCAATCATCATATTAACAACCCAAAAGAGATAAACACATAGGAAAGGATATTATCAAACCACTTTGCTGGAGTTGGTTTCTTGATGCATTAACTCATTTTTTATAGAAAAGGGATAGTGCATCTCAGTTTGCTCACAAGCTAGGAGAATTCTGCATTTCCTAACTGCAAACAGAATATAGCACTTACAACAGCTTATAAATAAACTGGTTTTCAAGCATAGAGACAGCCCCAACAATAATAATACACTATTTTAAAAGATCTAAGGCAATGGACTGTATTTCCAATGGAGAAAAAGAACTGTGTAAACAAGCTTAAAAGTACTTTTTTTGTGCCAGTGTTATAAAATGTAGCTTTTAATAAAACCTTGACCCAAATGCCAGTAACTTCAGAAAAGAATCTGTGGAGGGAAGAAGAAAGTTATTTCATTTAGGAAAAATAACCACTATCTTTTTCCTAATATTTAATACACACAATTTAAACATAAATGGCTGCTGTAACACTTACATAATTCCTATGTACTGGAGTAATAATAACAAGATCTAAATACAATTATCGTTTTAAACACTGAGTCAAGGCTTTACATAAAAATACCATCCTACTTCCCCCCCTAAGTTTCTAAAATATTACATACTTTCCTCAACATCTGCAGTCATCCAGGAATTTTTAGGAAAATTTCGTGCCTGATCTTAATTCCTAATCCCTAGCTCTTTGGGCTCAGTGACAAAAGATCAAAACCACCAAGAATGATGGTTCACTTGAAGTCAGGCAAGAGACCCTGGCTCAGTTAGTCTTATAGGATGAAAGCAGTGCTGCATCAAGTGGCTCTATGCAGGAGGGGCACATGAAGGATGTCATCAATCAGTCATCTATATAGTCCAGGTAATAGATGTGCATGCACAGCAGAAATCGAATCAGGTCCCCATAAACAAAGTCCATCATACAGATCACACACTCTTGGATCTTGTTTTCTGATCCATCTCTTCCAGGGTCATAAACTCCTTTAGGCAGATGCTGTATAAGGCCTATTCTTTGAGCTATCCTAATTTGTTCCTTTTTGGTCAGCTGAGTTGCTAGCCAAGTCTGGCTAGGTGTTGGATGATACACTGGAATTGGAACTTGTTCCTGATGTATTGGTGGCTCCTGATCAGGCTCCGTGCCCTCGCCAAAGCTAGCCCTGTCGGACTGAGACTCATGAAGCAGGGACATGTCATCCAAGGTGGGGGATTTGAGGCAGTTCCCCATCTTCAGGGCTGGGCTGGGTGATCTGGGCTGTGCTGCTCTGTGCCTGACTCCAAAACCTCTCCACGGTCTCCTTTACTTCCCTATGAAGGCTGTTCTGCCGGGTTTAAGCCTCACCTCTTACCTGTGCACTGTTCTGAAGATTGAAGTATTAACCCAGGAATTTAACCAAGACAGTACCAACAACAAAAATAGAAATGAGAAGACATTTATGCAAAGCACAAACACAGACTTCCAGCTCACCAAAGGCAAATTCTGAAGAGTTAATGAGGTAGAAAAGTCTGATAGTCAACCACCTGGACAGCCTGAACTGATAGCACAAGAAGAAACAAAACAGATGAACAAGGCACTAGAAAAATTCAAAACTGAAATAATTTCCAAGATAACCACAGAGATAGTGAGCAAGATGAAAGACATGACTACAGACTCTAGAATAGAAGCAGATAAAAAAAAATGAGGTCAGAACCAAGATGGAAACCATGAATGCCCAGCACAGGAAAAAAATGGAAACCATGAAACACAATATAGGAAAGAAATGTAAACCAGGAAACAGGTTCAAACAGATATCCAGAAGATTAAAAACTCCATTGAAAGCATTTGCAGCAGAATGAGTGAATGTGAAGATAGAACATCAGATATAGAAGATAGGGTTGCAGTCAGTGACCATGAAAAGAGAGATCTCTTAAAAATAGTAAGGGGCCATGAGAAATTGATCCAACAGCTCCTCGATGAGGCAAAGAATAACATAAGACTGAAAGGAATCCATGAATAAGCAGGAGAAAGTACAAATGACATTAAAAAAATTGTTCACAGAATTAATGACAGAAAATTTCCCAAACAGAGGGAAACAATTTGACATGCAGGTAATTGAGGAATATAGGACTCCAACTAGCCATGATAAAAAAAATCTACATCTAGACATATAATAATTAAGATCCCAGAAACCCAACAGAATAACAAAATACTTCAAACAGAGAAAAGAAACATCACATGCAGAGGGAAGCCCATCAGAATCCCAGTAGAATTCAACACAAACACTCAACTCAAGAGCTTGGAGAGAGGTATTTCAAGCCCTAAAAGAAAACAACCTCCAACCTAGACTGATATATCCTGCAAACTATCCTTCAAAGTTGATGGGGAAATAAGATATTTCCATTACAAAGAATACCTGAGAAATTTCATGAATGCCAAACCAGCACTCCAAACAATTCTAAACATTATTCTGGAAAAGGACAATGAAAGTCACAACTCTGTGAGGCCCAACAGAGCAAACCCAGCAGGCAAGGCAAGAAATTAAAGGCAGGGGGGAATAAAAAATAGTCAACAACAGGACAATACCATGACAATGATAAGTCAATACATATCAATTTTAACCATCATTAGCCTCAATTCACCAATCAAAAGAAATGCAAAATCCAGCAATATGCTGTATATAAGAAATACACTTAATTCACAAAGAAATTCATAAAATGAAAGTAAAGGGATGGAAAATAGTTCTCCATGCAACAGGAGCCCAGAAAAAAGTAGGCATAGCTATCTTATTCGCAGACACAGTAGATTTCAAACCAAAACTAATTAAGAGATACAAAGAAGGCCATTACATCCTTGTAAAGGGAACAATCCAAAAGGAAAAGATGACAATCATAAATATATATGCACCAAATATTAATGCCCCCAACTATATAAAACAAATATTAAGGGACATGAAAAACCAAATAAGCACTCATACATTTGTAGTGGAGGACCTCAATACCCTAGTCACAAAGAGACAGATCGTCTAGACAAAAAAATCAACAACAAAATACTAGAACTGAACCAAGCTTTTGAACAAATGGATTTAATAGACGTCTACAGAGCATTCCACCCTACCAAATCAGAATATACATTCTTTTCAGCTGCACAGGGGTCATTCTCCAAAATAGACCACATACTAGCTCATAGAACATGCTTAAATAAATGCAAAGGAATCAAAGTTATACCATGTATATTATCAGCCCATAGTGCAATTAAACTGGTGATCAGTAGCATAAGAAAGTGTAAGAACTTCACAAACACAGGGAAATTGAACGACACTCTCCTGAACAATCAGTCAGTGGGTCACAGAGAAATTAAAGAAGAAATAAGTCAGTTTTTACAAATAAATGATAATGCCAGTACAACATACAAGAATCTATGGGATACAATGAAAGCAGTTCTATGAGGGAAATTCATAGCAGTGAATGCCCAATTAGGAAAATAGAGCAAGCTCAAATAAACAACCTAATGAGGAATCTTAGGCTCCTAGAAAATGAAGTGCAAGAAAAACCCAAAGCTCACACAAAGGAGGAAATTATAAAGATCAGAGCAGAAATCAATGTAATGGAAAACTAATAGAACGATACAAAAAAAAATGAATCAAAGAGTTGGTTTTTAGAAAGAATAAATCAAATTGATAAACCCTTAGCCAACCTTGTCAAAAAAGGGAAAGGAAAGGCTCAGATCCATACAATTAGGAACAAAAAATGTGAAGTCACAACAAACCCAGCAGAAATGTAGAGGAACATCAATACCTACTTCTAGAACCTATGTTCTAATAAAATGGGAAACAAGAAATGGACAGATTTCTTGATACTTAGGAATTACCAAAGTTGAACAAAGAAGATAAAAAAATTCTAAACACCCCAGTTACAATCAGTGAAATTGAAAACATAATTAAAAGTTTACCAACTAAGAAAAGTCCAAGTCCTGATAGCTTCACTGCTGAATTCTACAAGACATTTAGAGAACTACTGCCACCACCCTTTAAGCTTTTCAATGAAATTAAAAGGGAAGCATTACTTCCAAATTCATTCCTGGAAATAAGTGTTACTTTGTTTCCGAAACCAAAGACCGAACCAAAAAAGAAAACTACAGGCCAATCTCCTTAATGAACATAAATGCAAAAATCTTCAATAAAATACTGGCAAACAGAATTCAGAGGGTCATCAAGAAGATCATACACCTAACCAAATCACATTTACCCCAGGGATAAAGGATGGTTCAGTATATGTAAATCAACAAATGTAATATACAAAGTCAAGGACAAAAACCATATAATCATCTCAATAGGTGCAGAAAAAGCATTCAACAAAATTCAACACCTATTCATGATAAAAACCCTGAAGAAAATTGGAATAGATGGTCTTTATCTCAACTTGATAAAAGCTATCTATGAAAAACCAACATCCATATTAAATGACCAAAAGCTGAAAACATTCATGCTAAAATCAGTAACAAGACAAAGATGTTCACTATTACCAGTCTTGTTCAATATAGTTCTGGAAACCTTAGCCACAGCAATTAGACATGAGAAAGAAATTGAAGCAATAAAGATAGGAAAGGAAGAAGTTAAACTGTCATTATTTGCTGATGATATGATACTCTACATAGAAGACTCAAAAAACTCTGCCAAAAGACTTCTAGACCTAACTGACACTTTGAGCAGAGTAGCTGGATGCAAGGTAAACATTTAAAAATCATTAGCCTTCTTGAACTCAAATAACAGATTCACTGAGAGAGAAATTAGGGAAACAATTCCTTTTACAATAGCATCCAAAAAAATGAAGTATCTAGGAATCAATCTAATGAAGGAAGTAAAAGACCTCTACACTGGAAAATTATGGCACTCTGAAAAAAGAGATTAAAGAGGATATAAGAAAATGGAAAGATATCCCTTGCTCCTGAGTAGGAAAAATCAACATAGTGAAAATGGCCATACTATCAAAACTGCTATAAAGATTCAGTGCAATCCCAATTGAAATTCCAACAGTATATTTCACAGAACTAGAGAAAATAGCACAAAAATTCATTTGGAACAAGAAAAGACCTAGAATAGCAAAAGCCATCCTAGGCAACAGAGACATGACAGGGGGTATCACCATCCCCAACTTGATGCTATGCTATAAAGCTACTGTGATAAAAACAGCATGGTACTGTCAAAGAAACAGATCTGAGGGTCAGTGGAACAGGTTGGAAGACACAAAAACAAATCCAGATGTACTCAGCTACGTCATCTTTGACAAAGGAGCTGACCATCCTCAGTGGAGGAAAGATAGCCTCTTTAATAAATGGTGTTGGAAAAACTGAATTTCAACCTGCCAAAGATTAAAACTAGACCCTTATCTTTCACCTTACACTAAGCTAAAATCCAAGTGGATTAAAGATATAAATATTAAAACAGAAACTCTAAACTTGCTGGAAGATAAGTTAGGCAGAACTCTCGAAGACATTGGCATAGGAAAAGACTTCATGGACAAATCCTCAGTAGCACGGGAACTAGCACAAAATATCAACAACTGGGATCTCATCTTATTAAAAAGCTTCTGCACTGCAAGAGAAACCACTGACAGAGCTAAAAGACAACCTACAATGTGGGAAAAAATTTTTACCTGCTACTCCTCAGGCAAAGACTATTATCTGGAATATATAAAGAACTCAAGAAACCAGGCCCCCCAAATATAAAGATCCAATTCAAAAATGGACATCCAAAATGAGCAGACATTTCTCAGACAAAGAAATAAAAGCATCAAATAAATATTTGAAAAAATGTTCATCATCATTGTTCATTCGAGAGATGCAGATGAAAACAACACTGAGATTTCATCTCACCCCACAAAGAATGGCTGCTATCAAGAAATCAACCAATAACAAATGTTGACAGGGTTGTGGAGAGAAAGGAGCCCTTTTCCGTTGTTGATGGGAGTGCAGACTGGTGCAACCACTGTGGAAATCAATATGGAGATACCTCAGAGAACTAGGATTAGAGGTTCCATTTGACCCAGTTATTCCTCTTCTGGGTATCTTTCCAAAAGATACCACAGTGATATATGCACACCCATGTTTATAGCAGCACAGTTTGTAATAGCTAAAACTTTGAAATAGCCCAATTGCCCACCAGTTGGAGACTGGATAAAGAAGATATAATTTGTCTACAAAATGGAGTACTAGTCAGCCATAAAGAATGAGAAACTAGAGTCATTCATAGGAAAATGGATGAATATTAATTC